GTGGTCAGATGAGACCGTAATAGAACTTTTTGGTCTTAATTCCACTCGCCATGTTTGGAGGACGAAGAATGATGAGTACCATCCCAAAAACACCACCCTACTGTGAAGCATGGGGGTGGAAGCATCATGTTATAGGGGTGTTTTTCTGCACATGGGACAGGATGATTGCACTGTTTTAAGGAGAGGATGACCGGGGCCATGTATTGTGAGATTTTGGGGAACGACCTCCTTCCCTCAGTTAGAGCATTGAAGATGGGTCGTGGCTGGGTCTTCCAACATGACTATGACCTGAAGCACACAGCCAGGAGAACCAAGGAGTGGCTCTGTAAGAAGCATATCAAGGTTCTGGAGTGGCCTAGCCAGTCTCCAGACCTAAACCCTATAGAAAATCTTTGAAGGGAGCTCAAACAGAAACCTGGCTGATCTAGAGAAGATCTGTGTGGAGGAATGGTCCCAAGTCCTGCTGCAGTGTGTGCAGACCTGGTGAAAAACTACAGGAAACCTTTGATCTCTGTAACTGCAAACAAAGGCTACTGTACCAAATATTAACATTGATTTTCACAGGTGTTCAAATACTTATTTGTAGCAGTAACACACAAATAAATTTTAAAAATATACATTGTGATTTCTGTATTTTGTGTGTATGTTTATGTATGTATATATATATATATATATATATATATATATATATATATACACACACACACACACACGTTGTTATTGTGGACTTTCTATTGTAGTACTCATTTACTTCCAAACCTAATACCATCAGTAACTGATGATTTACGATATTTAACATCACTAGGTTTGTGCCATATCTAATTAACCTCATTGCTAGAAGTGCTGTAAACTGCACCTCTTTGCTTTGATGTTTGTTCGTTACTATGTACACAACTACCACACAAATGCAGAACAAGGTTGTTGTAAAACCTTGTGTAAATATAACAGGAAGTAGTAAACAGATGTTTTAGTCATTTCCTGCTCCCCATGTAGAATCGGTGAGCGCTGCAGAAGGAATTGACTGCCACCTTGTGGTCATTTCCAATAACTGATGCTTTTTTCCTTACAGATATAAACCAACCAATGTGTTGATTTTACTTCTTGCCTTCAACCTACAGGTGTACGTCTCGACGGGTGAGGGACCTCTGGTGGCAAGGCGTACCCCCGAGTGTCAGAGGCCGAGTGTGGAGCCTGGCAGTAGGCAACGACCTCAACATCACACATGGTACAGGAGAATGCATCTGATGTTTAGTTTCAAAATAATCAAGAATCGTCACTAAGGTGAAATCAATTTAATGGGTCTGTGTGTGTGGGACTTGATTTTCATCACAGTTCCATATAAATGTCACTTAAAACTTACCAACCATGTCTGAACAAGAATTACCATCAAATTTTTACCCTGCAACTAACCATAGTGATTAAGGGAACCAAAACAACAACACTCAAACAATCATTACTATTTGGTCGTTCTTTCGTTTCTGTTAAAAATGTAAAACTTCTATTAAAAAAACACATTAAAACATGCAGCGCAATGCGATTTATGAAGCACATGCGACATTTATGGCATAAACAAATGTTGCAAGAAAACAAAGATGTTTGTTTCTTCATATGCAAAACATTATTTTTGGCAAAACTATTGAGGAAGCCCTGCTCTACATGAACCAGTAAACCTCTGACAAACGTTGCAAAACATTCAATGCTTGAACACATTTACACACAAATCTGGACTTTACATGACTGAACTTTAATGTCTTTAACGTTCAAAATTAGAAATGACGGGGTTTTTTTACTTATCAAACTTTTAGAGTTGTTTTTCTTATTTAGGAAACTCGTCTTCAATGATGTCTTCGATCTGAAGTCTAATAAATTACAACTGTTCAGATCATTTTTTGTTATTCAGGTGTTTTTTCAGTTCCAACAGTGTGTGTATACAGATCTATCCTCATGGGATGAGTCACCCCCACACACCCCTTCTTGGATTTACTGCATAGTGAGGACCAAGTAAAAAGATCAGCAGAATGAGGACCACTAGTTTTTAACCATTAAAAAGTTGGTCAGAGTCAGAGATTGTTTGTCGTTCGTACCACATGTCGTACATGTGGTGCAAACGAAATTATGTACACAGGGTCCCAGTTACATCCAACAATAAAATGTAAAAGAAAAACAATGATAAGATCTAAGATATGAACTAAGAAAAACAAACTAAAAATACACTAAGCACTAATAGCATAAAAACATTACGGTGAACAGGAGCACGAACATGAGTCTGCGTGAGCAGATGAGCACGAATGAACACATCAATATGAAACAGATCAGCAGCAACATGAAACAGATCAGCAGCATTATGAAACAGATCAGCAGCAACATGTGATTTTTCTTTTTCACAGTGATTTTCCTGGTTAGAGATTCATGAGTCTAACAGCCTCAGGGTAGAAGCTGTTCCTCAGTCTAGTGGTTCTACACTTAATGCTCCTCAACCTCCTCCCTGAGGGGAACGGGACAAAATGTGTGCGTGTTGGGTGAGTGGGGTCCTTCATGATGCAGGTGGCCCTCTTCCTGCATCTAGAGGTGTAGCTGTCTGTGATGGTGGGGAGGCTGACTCCAACAGTCTTCTGTGCAGCCTTCACCACTCTCTGCAAAGCTTTTCTTTCTGCAGCTGTGCAGCCTCCATGCCACACGTTGATGCTGGAGCACAGGATGCTCTCCACTGCACACCTGTAGAAGGAGGTGAGGACTGAGCTTCCCAGACCAGCTCGTCTCAGCTGTCTGAGGAAGTAGAGTCTCTGATGAGCTTTCTTGATCTGGCTGGTGGTGTTGTTGCTCCAGCTGATGTTGTCATTCTTGTATACACCCAAGTATTTGTAGCTGGAGACCACTTCCACCGCAGATCCTCTTATGTTCAGGGGGTGTAGGTGTTTTTGTTCCTTCTGAAGTTCACAATCATCTCCTTTGTTGTCTTCACATTGATGTGAAGGTTATTCTCTTTGCACCAGCTCTCCAGGTGTTCTACCTCCTGCCTGTAGCTGGACTCATCATTGTTTTTGATGCATCCCACCACTGCTGTATCATCTGCAAACTTTACAATGTAACAGCCTGGATGGATAGCTGCACAATCATACGTGAGCAGAGTAAACAGGAGAGGGCTCAACACACATCCCTGAGGAGAGCCAGTGCTGAAGGTTATGGTGGAGGAGGAGAAGTTGTGGATCCTCACTGACTGTGTTCTGTTTAAGAAAGAAAAAAGAAAGTATGATCAATTTTGGACACTAGGTGTCACACACACACACACACACACAAACAGGTTTGTCTTTCTATCTTTACAGGGACTTTGCATTGACTTCCATTAATTTCTATAGCCTAACCCTGACCCTAAACTTAACCGCTAACCCACCAACGACACTTCTTTTTATGGAGCCTGGGCTTTGGGCCCCAAAGGAGTAGTTGGTCCTCACAATGTAGTAAAAATGGGAAAAATGGGCCTCACAAACTAACAAACAAGCAAACACACACACACACACACTCATTTCTTCTTACAGTAACAGAAACAGTTTGTCTCAGCTTTTCTGTCTGAATAAGTCAAATAGATAGAGGAGGACAGAAGATTGTTTCTATTAGAGAATGGTCACGGTACAGTGATTCCTTCATTACAGGAGGCTACTCTGATATAACACACACACACACAGAAAACTAATTTCTGTCTTACTGCAGCAACTTGAAATCAGCAGTCCCTACAATCTGTGTCCTCACTCTGCTTTGCTCAGCTATTCCTTGTAAATGGAACCACAGCACTTGATATCAGAACACACACACGGTTCAGTCCCATCAAGGTTATTCACTGTTTCAATAGCACCAGATAAGTTAAAACATGTCCAGATGACTTAACTGAACATTGTTGGATATTTTACCTGGGTTATTGAGCATGAACCTTGATGTCAATATACAGTGATTTTATAGCTTTGTTTCTGCACGTGTTATAAATCTGCCGGCGCTATGCGAGTGTTAAAGAGTCATCAGGTCTCAACTCAGAAAGCCCACTACCTCGATCTCATCACTAGAGAGCAGCCTCAGGTCAAAGCAGAAGATGGGTCTGCAATGAAACGTCTTCTGAAATAGAGGAAGATGGATTCTTTATTCATCTGTAGTGTTTCTGCTGCTGAGTTCTTTTCTCATCAGACATTTTCTGTTTAGTAATCTTGTCCTCTGATCAGAGTCTTTAACCTCTGACTTCTCTTCTCATATTGAATGTTCTGTGTCCCTGCAGAGCTGTATAACATCTGTCTCGCCCGAGCAAAAGAGAAGTGGAATACCACAGCAGCTCCCACCACAGACACTGAAACTATAGGTAAAGACTGACTCTGATCTTCATTTTTCACTTCATTTTTTTTTTTCACATTTTTATTGTAACATGATTTAATTCTGCCAGATGTTTCAGGTTCTTCGGACCGAGAGTCGAGTCTGGAGCTGATCAAGCTGGACATCTCCAGGACCTTTCCCCAACTGTGCATCTTCCAGCAGGTCAGATTCAGGCGTCTGCTCATCACAGGAGATTTAAGTTACAAAACAGATTAGCACTAAATGCATAGTTTGTAACTTTTTTTACAAGAAAACTGTTCTCAGTTTGGCATTCTTTGAGACATATTGGAGTTAGTTTATTCTTGCCCTCTTTTATTGTCTTTATTGTTTGTGGATCATCAGGGTGGGCCCTACCACGATGTGCTGCACAGCATTCTGGGAGCGTACACGTGTTATCGGCCAGATGTTGGTTATGTAAGTCACTCAAACACAGCTCTACTCTGCTGAGATATTAAACATCTTTCATTTTTTTAATGCACAAATACACTTTATATGCCCATCGAAGGTGGACGTCTTACATTAGTCTCTGTCAGTCCATCTGTAAACTACTGATTGTCCCGCCCATAACTTCTGATTGGCTCAAGATGATTTAACAAAGCTTAATACACATGTGCATCATCATATACACTTTGTCATCCCAGCTCCAAGGTAAAGGTCAGAAGTCAAGGTTTAAAACATTCTGTGCATGTCCCACCCATAACTTCTGATCTGCTCAAGAAAATGTAATAAAACTGAAACACCTATGTATCATTACAAGACGAAGTGTCACATCCACCTTTCATCACACCAGCTCCAAGTTCAATGTCATTAATCAAGGTCAAAGTGAAAACAAGGTCTTTGGTCGTCTACCCATAACTTCTGATTTGTTAAAGTTAATTTAATTAAACTTGGTATTTATTTTTACCACCACTAGCTTGTTAGACCCCAAGTGGTTTCCTTGAAGTCCCTGTTTGAAAATAATATGCTCAAATAAAATCTAGTGTTTCTCAGCTATTACAAACTCTCTTTGAATAATCTTGGTATCAAAATAATGGTAACATTTGGAAGATTTCATCAGAAGTGTAAGCAGCACAACTGCTGCTAATTTTACACAGAAAACGAGGTTAGAACAAAGAAAAAAATTTTTGTTTTTTTACCCCTTTCCTTGTCTTTTGTATTATAGAGTATATTATAACCCCTTTAAAAATGTGAAGAAAAATATTTAAAATTTTGAGGAAACCATGAATCCACATGTGAACATTACCTGTGCAACAATTCATGCTGCTGAAGTAAACTATAGCAAAGTTACAGAGGGTTTAATTAAGAAATATTTAGATGTTTTTCCATTTGGCACTGGATGGCAAGTTTTAACACCATTTATGAAAGTAGAGGTTTTTTTAGGTTTACGTTGCCTAATTTTTTTTTGTATTTTTAAATTACCTACTTACTATCCCATCATATAAAACAATAGGAAATGTTGACTTGATTGCAACTGTACACATTTTACTAAAATCAATGAAAACCTTCAACACATTAGCATAATTGCTCAAATTCCCATTTTACAAAAGCTTAGAGAAGCCTTCACAACATACAAACCAGATTCCAAAAATGTTGGGACACTAAACAAATTGTAAATAAAAACTGAATGCAATGATGTGGAGGTGCCAACATCTAATATTTTATTCAGAATAGAATACAAATCACAGATCAAAAGTTTAAACTGAGAGAATGTATATTTTTAAGGGAAAAATCTGTTGTTTCCAAATTTCATGGCGTCAACAAATCCCCAAAAAGTTGGGACAAGTCCATTTTTACCACTGTGTGGCATCCCCCCTTCTTCTTACAACACTCAACAGACGTCTGGGGACAGAGGAGACCAGTTTCTCAAGTTTAGAAATAGGAATGCTCTCCCATTCATGTCTTATACAGGCCTCTAACTGTTCAATCATCTTGGGCATTCTTTGTCGCACCTTCCTCTTTATGATGTGCCAAATGTTCTCTATAGGTGAAAGATCTGGACTGCAGGCTGGCCATTTCAGTACCCGGATCCTTCTCCTACGAAGCCATGATGTTGTGATTGCTGCAGAATGTGGTCTGGCATTATCGTGTTGAAAAATGCAGGGTCTTTCCTGAAAGAAATGACGTCTAGATGGGAGCATATGTTGTTCTAGAACCTGAATATAGTTCTCTGCATTAATGGTGCCTTTCCAGACATGCAAGCTGCCCATGCCACAAGCACTCATGCATCCCCATACCATCAGTGATGCAGTCTTCTGAACGGAGCGTTGATAACAACTTGGGCTATCCTTGTCCTCTATGGTCCAGATGACATGGCGTCCCAGTGTTCCATAAAGAACTTCAAATCGTGACTCATCTGACCACAGAACAGTCTTCCATTTTGCCACACTCCATTTTAAATGACCCCTGGCCCAGTGCAAACGTCTGAGCTTGTGGAGCTTGCTTAGAAATGGCTTCCTCTTTGCACTGTAGAGTTTCAGCTGGCAACAGCAGATGGCACGATGGATTGTGTTCACTGACAATGCTTTCTGGAAGTATTCCTGAGCCCATTCTGTTATTTCCTTGACAGTGACATTCCTGTTTGTGGTGCAGTGACGTTTAAGGGCCCGTTGATCATGAGCGTCCAGTAGAGTTTTACGGCCTTGACCCTTACGCACAGCGATTGTTCCAGATTCTCTGAATCTTTTGATGATGTTATGCACAGTTGATGATGATAACTTAAAAGTCTTTGCTATTTTACGCTGGGTAACACCATTCTGGTATTGTTGCACTATCTTTCTGCGCAACAATGGTGGAATTGGTGATCCTCTTACCATCTTGGCTTCTGAGAGACACTGACACTCTGAGAAGCTCTTTTTATACCCAATCATGTTGTCAATTGACCTAATTAGTGTTAATTGGTCTTCCAGCTGTTCGTTATATGCTCAATTTCCTTTTGCCAGCCACTTATTGCTACTTGTCCCAACTTTTTGGGGATTTGTTGACACTGTGAAATTTTGAATCAACAAATTTTTGCTTCAAAAGTTTAATCTGAGTAAATGTAACATTTTAATCTGCCATCTATGTTATATTACGAATAAAATATTAACATTTGCCATCTCCACATCATTGCATTCAGTTTTGTAAATAGATTTTTTGACATTTATCCCAAAAAATCTTCCTTTGTGCTACAGCTCTGCCTCTTCCTCATGGACTTAGTGTGTGCATAAATTCTCAAGCCTCTTTGTGTGTCCACCAGATTTACGCAGAGCTACAACTCTGATTTTGATTGGCCGAATAGCACAAATGAGCTCTCATTTAAGTCCTTAGATCCAATAGAATTAACCTAACCAGTACATTCACGTCAATCCCACCAACTGTCATGAGATGAAGACGTGGTGCAAACTGTGTGTCATTCACCTTTGTCCAATCAGCTCCTTGTAATTGAGTCAGAAAATATGATTTGGTCTGGAAAAATGCTTGAAAAGCACACTGGAAAATGTCTTTGCTTAATAAATACAAATTTAAGCTCCGGAGGCAAAACTATCAAGGTAAGAAAAGTTTTTAGATAATGTTTATCAAGGGTGCGGTGCTTAAGAAGCAATAGATAGAATGTTGCATTATTTTTTTTTAATCACACCTGCCCTAAGATCAAGGTCAAAGTTTATACAAGGTCTTTGCTTGTCCAGACAATTGCTATAGATTGTTGTATTGCTGTATACAGTATTAGTTTTAGAGCCCAACCGATATGGAAATTTTGGCTATCGCCCATACCGATATAGAGAGGTGAAGGTGAATGCCGATAGCTGAAATAATGGCTGAATTTTTTTTAGCTTTGTCCACCCCCAAGAATCTAAGAACATATGAGTGGAGCAGGGCTTGTTTATTTAGCATGGCTGTTAGCGACCATGAAGCTAAGCTAATCAGATCCATGCTATACCTAGACCCATACTAGGTTTACAAGTGGTGCACTGGTCATAAAAACAGTCTTCCTAACGTGTGTTCACATTTTCTTCCTCTAATATTCACCATAAACGTATCAAGTGTGTTCCAAAATATAAATTTAACAAAGAAACACCCTTCCCTGTTCACTGTTTAAACAGTCACATTTGGTGAAGGCCTAATTGGTTTTGACTGCAGAAGGGTTTTTTTTTTTTCTTTTCAGAGAAGAAAGACTTCAGACAAAATGATGCATTTGATCAAGGACTACAAAGATAACTTTACTAATGCTGAATGTATTCACAGACTGGAAGCTCAATCCAACAGGACTGTTGCTTTAACTACTGACAACAGGGCTAATGTCGTGAAGGTGGTGCAACTGAACACCAATGGTGGCTTCCTAACTTGAGAGGCACAAAGCTAATGACAAGCTGGTTGGAGAATTGAGGAGAATTTATTGTTTTTTTTATTTTTTATTTTACAAATCAGTTAAAATAAACTTACCACGTTCAGCAAAACATGCTGCACAGTATGGCTCGTTGCTTTGTCTGTGCTGAATGTGAAAGTGAAACTTAAGTCCATGACCTGAAAGTAGTCTTCATTCTTTCTTTATTTATTTATTTATTGTAAATTTATTAATTTCATATAAAAACAATGACAATTTTTAGAAAAAAAATAAATAAACAAAAAAACATAAAATGAAAGGAAGCAGAAGAAAACATTTCTTATTATATCTGCTCCCTATTAAACAATCAAATTCAAACAATCAATTCAAACATTAATTTGCTTATTGTAATACAAAAGAATAGTCTAATCAAAATACCTTTATAATTTGTTAAATTAGAAACAACTAAATATAATTCTTTAACAAAATAGTTTTAACCATTTTCCTAAATGTTAGTATCGACTTTGCTTTTTTTACATTGTCCTCCAAACCATTCCAAAGATCAATTCCTCTTATTGTAGTAGTTCTACCCTTTAAACTTGTTCTGTACTTAGGTTTAACAAACATTTCTATTCCCTTTAAATTATAACTACTGGTCCTTTTCACAAAATAGTTCTGAATGTTTGATGGTAGTGAATAATTCTGAGCTCTAAACATAAGTAAAAGAATATTATAATCAACCAAATCATAAAACTTAAGTAATTTCAATTGACAAAATAGAGTACCAGAAGGATGACAATAATTTTTCCTCATTATAATTCTTACAGCTTTTTTTTGCAAAATAAAAATAGGCTTAGTTGTTGTCTTACATGCTGTACCCCAAACATTTACACAATAAATTAAATGCGGAACTATAATTGTATTATAGAGCAAGTACAAAGCCTTATTATTTAACAAGTCCCTTACACGATACAATACTGCAATTGACTTAGATTTTTAATTTTAACAAAATTTACATGCTGTTTCCATGACAGTTTGTCATCGATAATTACACCCAGAAACTTGATCTCATTCACTCTACATATCTTTATACCATCAATTTCAATAGAAAAAT